TATTCTGATTCTGATTTATGTCTACTGAGGTATTTCCATAATGTTTCATTGCTTCCTTTTTTTTATAGGAATGTTTTCTTTGAACACTAAATAATTTCTGGAAATACATAATAGATATTCATTGATGATCCTTAGATGACGGCCTTTAGTTTTTCTACAATATGTTGCTGGCCTCTTCTGGGCAAAATGATAAACTGCAGCCATGATATTTACACAAACAGCTTTATTGCAAGCATTTTCTGTATTTATCTATATCTATGCATCTATAGAAAGCTATCATGCATGAACAATTCAAATATACACATAATTATCTAATAATTCACTGGCTTTACCAGAGCTGGCATGCTAGATTCTTGTTGTAGTACCACGTCACTGTGTATTCACTGAGGTGAAATGGTGTTTAGGCCTTTTTCTCAATGAACTGTCAGTTTGGATTGCGTGTACACAGTCCGAGCTGGTGTGCCTCATCTCTTCTGGAGGTAGTGTATGAGGACTTTCTCTGAGCTCAGAATGTGACTGGGTCTTTTGAAGTCCAGCGACTGCAGTTTCTGGATGCCTACGTACACACACATGCAAGCACACACAAAAAGGGAGGTGTTTAAACTGCCATGTCAACCAGACTTTATTATATTTATGCACATCAGTACACTCTTTTTCAAGAATATAGCAACAATGAAACTTTTTACAGTACATTTGATTATAAACCAACTTGAAGTGTAAGTCGTATATATATCAGCTTTTTTATACCTCTACAGTAACAGTTTCTGAAGTGTGTAAAATGTGTTGTATAATGACAGAAATTCATTGGAATAAATGAACTTATTACTGCTTCTGAGTACAGTAAATTATTACCGTTCATATTAAGACTTCTGTTTCAATGTTCTTAGTTTCTCAGTCCAGAAGTAAAAAGCCACTATCAAGGGAGTTGCCATAATGAAACTATTTGTTTTCAGGTTACTCTGGATACGTTTAGAAAGGCCCTGTAGGTTTTTGTCTCATGGTAGCCTGGCCTTCAGATTTCCTGCACCAGCTATACTGTGGGTGTGATATTTCATAAAGAATTTGAACTTTGCACACAGCCTCTGGAGGACAAATGGTGTCACTGCCTCTATGGATGCCCTTTTCAGGTTGTGCTGCTCTCTTCCAACAGGAAAGAGCTGTGTCTAGACTGAAGAAAAAACAACCCAAACTTAAAAACCTTTATTTTCACAGGTTTACATTTACTGTCTGTGTGTATAAATGGACTGGTTCTTATATAGTGCTTTTCTACTCTACCTGAGCACTCAGAGCACTTTTATACAACTTGCCTTATTCACACCCATTCATACAAGTACTTTTTTCTGTGCTCTTTCTATCTAACATTCATATACATTCATACTCCAAGATCGGAGAACAACGTGGGGTTTGTATTTTGCCCAAAGATGTTTGGCCTGCAGACTGGACCAAACCAACAACCTTCTGATTAGCAGAAGACCTGCTACAGCCACCCAGTGTGTGCAGGTGTGTCTGTGTGTGTGCATGCACAGGTGTGAGAGTTTGTATGTTTGTGTTTTAACTTCAAAACTTCAAGGTTGACTCTTTATGACATTTTGTTTTGTTGTTTTTGCTATAAGACATTGTAGACCTACATTCCACCATCCATCACATTTCTATCACTAATACATTTCAGGGTTGTGGGGGACTGAAGCCTATCCCAGCTGCCATGGGGTGTAAGGGGGGTACACCCTGGACAGGTTACCTGTCTGTCACAGGGACCTACACACTGTTCTTTTTTAAATTATAAGCCCATTGTAATGAAATATGTTTTATAAATAAAATGGACACTGATACTGGTAAATGGACTGGTTCTTACACATCCCTTTTAAATTCTACCTGGGCACTGAGACTGCTTTATACAACTTGCTTCAGTCATACCCGTTCATTTAAGCACTTTTTTTCTATCCTTTTTCTACACAAGTGCTTTCTATCTAGCATTCACACTTTCATGGATGCATCGGAGAGCAACTTGGGCTTAATATCTTGACAAGGATATTTGGCATCCAGATCAAATGACCTGAGCTACAGCCAATCCATATTGACGCTGATGCTTTGGGAAGCCTGTGTTCTGGCTGTCATGGCCGTCATCTCTTTGCCCTAACCTCAACACAGGTATGGGTAGGTGGATCAGTGGACTATGTATATCTTGCCAGTCAATATGCAATTCAAGTTCTCTGAAAGTAAGATACCAATCTGGAGCTGTGGGCCTCAGGAGGAGGAGCGCATCAGACCATGGTTAAAGAATTGCCAGAGACTAGCAACGTGGAAGTGGCCACAACAATGATCAGGTAATGAATGTCAGAGTCTCTACGCATTTTTTAAACCACATCCCTATCATCTCTCTGTAGTGCTGTGTGCATGAGCCTGATGTACACGACTTCCATAACTCGAGCCGGAATTTCTCATTTAGATGTTACTACTACATGTGAGAAGCAGAAGCTGTAAGAAGAGGAGAGCAACATAACAAACACACCAGATTTTAAGTAATATAGAAACTGCATAATTTTCATACATCATAATGATGGATGGAAATGCCCTGCAGGTATGCTGGTGAAAGCCATTAGAGAGAATCGTAATCCTTGGTTTATACCCATGAGCCTTGTGAGACAAAAGGTCAGCAGCAGAAGATTGTATATAGATTTCAGGACACTGAACACTGTAACGAAAGAGGATTCACCTGGCCTACATGTGTGGAATGATTTCTACCATTAATGGTTGCAAGCACAATATTTACTTGTGTGTGCAACCTGTTTTACTTATCACACACAATGATGGATGTTTAGAGAGTAATTTGGGATTCTCTTGCTCAAGGACTCTTACCAGAGTGGAGGAGCAGGGAGTCAAACCATTAACATTCTGAGTAATGCATATACTATTATATATTGTACATATATTTATTAGTCTCAGATTTAGCCATTCTTA